AGCTTGATGCCAAGTCAATCAGATGTACTTTTCTTGAGTATGGTGGTGATGGTAGAGGTTATAGGATTTGTAATCCAATCGTAAAGAAGACCATAAGAAGTATGGATGTTCTCTTCAATTAGAATGTCCTGTTTGCTGAAAAGAAGCAAGAAGATCCCAAGCACGAAAGAGTTGTTATAAATATGCAAGTCCAAAATTCCATTATTTCACCTCGGCAAGTGTAAGGGACTCAAGCTTGACCTCAAGATAGTGTTAATGAAGGTGATGTTAGTTATGAAGAAGACATTGATTGATTAAAGATGAAAAAGGCCTGCCTGTTATACCTATACAAGACGTGAGAAAATCCACATGTCCTCACAAGCCCACACAAAAGTACTCTTCTTCCTTATATTATATTTTTGTATACTGATAATGGTTAACCAAAGTCTTTTCATAAGGCTATTTATTGCCAAAATGCTGAAAAGTGACATAAGGCAATGATGAGGAGAATTATGCTATGCATAAGATTAATACATGGGAGTTGGTGGAACTTCAACATGGGAAGAAAATATTTAAGAATAGGTGGGTATATGCAATTAAATGGGAGGAAAATAGTCTTATGCGATAAAAGGTCTGATTTGTAGTGAAACGCTATGGAAAAAAACTAGGTGTTGATTTTAATGAAATTTTTGTTCATGTTGGTGAGCATAACTCTATTAGAGCTGTTTTATCTTTGGTTGCTAACTTGAATATGGAACTAGAACAACTTGATCTAGAAATTGCCTTCTTGTACGGTGATCTTGAAGAAAAAATTTGTATGTGTTAGTCAGAAGGTTTTGAGGATAAACCAATCCTAACTTGGTTTGCAAGTTGAAAAATGGGTTGTATGGTTTGAAGCCAGCAACTAGGCGATAGTATAAGAAATTTTGACAGTTTTATGTTAAGTCAAGGCTATTCTAAATGTGAATTTGGTCATTGTGTATATTTTAAGGATTCACCATGTGATTATTTTATTGTTTTGTTATTTTATGCTGATGATATACTTATTGCTAAAAATGATCTTAATAAAATCAAACATTTGAAGCTTGATATGTCCAAGCATTTTGCCATCAAGAATCTTGGACCATCCAAGAAGAATTTGGACATGCATATCCATAGAGATAAAAAAGTAAAGCAAGCATTGCTTAAGTCAATATGAATATATTTCTAAAGTTCTTGTGTGCTTCAATATGATTGATTGTAAACCTATTTCTACACCGTTAGCTGTATATTTTCAGTTGTCTAAAAATAACGATGAATGAGATAGATTAAAGTAGGATGAAAAACATTCCATATACTTCTACAGTGGGTAGTTTGATGTATACGATGGTTTGTACTAGGCCTGATGTTGTCCATGCAGTAGGAGTTGTTTCTAGATTTATGTCTAATCCAAGTTAGGAATGACAAATAGTTAAATAGATCCTTTGGTATTTGAACAGGACACAAAATATATGTTTGTGTTTTGGCAGCTCATCATTGAAAATTGTAGGTTATGTAAATGCAGATTATATAGGATGTCGTGATACTAGAAGGTCTACCACTCGGTATATTTTCAAGGTTGGTGGTAGTGTAGTCAGTTGGATGCGAAGATTGCAAGATATTGTTGTCTTGTCATCAACTGAAGTTGAATATGTGGCATTGACATAAGCAACAAAGGAAATGATTTGGTTGAGGAGGTTACTTGACTAGTTTGGGGTGAAACAAAATAAGCATATTGTGCATTGTAATAACTAGAGTGTTATTCATCTGGCTAAGAATGCAGCTTATCACTCTTAGACAAAAATATATAGAGATCAGATACCATTTTATTCGGTTAGCCCTCGAGCGTAGAGATATATTGACATGATCTACACTGAGACGAACTTTGCTGATATATTGAAAAAAGTTGTTTCAACTGAGAAAATAAGATGTGTAGAAGACTTTTTGGGGTTGGAGGAGACGTAACCTCGAAAGGATGGAGAATGATGTATTAGTGGTTGTTTCAGAAACTTGGTGATTTGTTTTCAAGTGAGAGATTTGTGTATATATGAATGCAAATCACACGTGGGTTTGGGCTTTATTGTTTTTACATTTTATTTTTGCTTTTCTTCATTATTTCTAAACCATAGGATTAAATCTAATCCAAGGGCTGTCATGTTTTGTAAGCTCCCAAGTATAATAGGCTTGAACCTCATTGTTTAAAGACAGAAAAAGAGAAGAGAAAGATAAAACTCACGGTGGGTATTTTGTGCTTAATTTTTCTACCTGATTTCTAGTGAGAGAAAGTGCTAGAGAGAGAGAGTTTTGTTGGGTTCTTGAAGTTTGGCTGCTGGCTTTGTTTTATTGAGAGAGAGTGCATATTTGTAGTGTGTTTGGAGCATTGTTTTAAATAGATAAAGCTGTTGTAAATTAGAGTTTTTGACCTTATTTTCTCTTGTAACCTCCATTGCATTAGTAAGTAAAGCCTCGCACTATTCTTTCGTAGATATAGATCATGATTTATGACTGAACCACGTTAAATCTTTGTGTTTTGTGATGTGCATACTGCTGTATTTTCATTCCATGATGTTGCTTTGATTCCATATTATTTCTATTGCTAGTTTATATGATTTTGGATGCACAATAGCTGTTAATGCGACATACCCCTGCTGTATTTTCACCACTATCGATCCCAACACGTGGCTTCCTCCGTGCTGTACGGTGAAAGCCCTAAACTAGGTATCTCTCTCATGTAATCTCTTTCTCCTATTCTTGGTTCTCTCTTTATCTTCCTCTGTACTATCTTGTTGTGATTGTTTGGAGGTTGAATCACGGAGGTGTTGAGCTTTGGTTGATGGGCTTTAGGGTTCGATTGGTCATTGCAAGCTATTTTACAACGGATTTGCTTATTTTACAGTTTGTCGGGTTTTGATGAGCTAGGGTTCTCTTCATTAAAACGGTGAATGTTAGCATTAATACAAAGTCCATTTACAACCCTAGAAATGGCCCTTTAAACCCGTAGTTTTCTAAAAACCACTATTAGAACCCTAAAAAACTTTCATTTTTAGAGATTCAAGTCTTGCAGAAGCTTCAATGTCTTATTTAATGGCTGATCTCCAGGGTGTTTAGGTTTTTTTGCTCTCTCTACTTCGAATTTATAAACTACAGAAAATGTATCCGGATCCTTGGAGCAAGCCTTTTTTTTTTGAAAGGAAGGGAAGAAGCTATTCTCTCTCTCTCTCGGTGCAATGCAAAATTGAGCGATTTGGGCATGTTTTACGTTGTTTTTGTTGGATAAAAATGGAGTTTCTTCTTTCTTTCTCTGGGCATTCGTTGATGCATAAAAAAGTTTCTCTCTTGGATGTGATTTGGGTCATTAGAATGACTGATCCAATAGTTTTTTTCCTGTTTGTATAGAGTTTTTTATTTAATTAGGGAAACATAAGGGGCCTTTCATATATTTCCTTATTGGATTTTGGCCCTATTTATCATGGTTTTGCAAACCTAATTTTGTTTACTTATCATTCATTTATCACAAAACAATGTCATCCTACTGTGAAAAACGCCTTCAGCCAATCTTCTTTACCATAAGAACATCAGTGGACTCTCCATCTCTCTAGAATATGGGTGGGTTGCAATTTTGAGGTAAAATGGTTCTCAAAAGAAGGGTCTCTGTACTTTACAAAAATTGGTTTCATTTTAAAAGGCTTTACCGTGTTTCTTTTGATGGGTTTTGTTGAAGAACTATTTTTGAAATGGGGTTGTTTGGTTCCTGTGCCTGGTCTTTCTTTTGTTCTTTGGTTGCTTTTTGTTGGGCTTCCTGAGGCATCTCAATTACTAAGACGAAGAAAGTGATCACTTCTCGATCATGGAATGTGGCCTATTTTCAAGATTGCAATCCAGAGCATTTTATCATTTGGTCCATTTTGTTTAAGTTCTTGAGCTGATTGTGATATACATGTTTGGGAGAAACACATCAACCACTTTGCTTATCTCAAGATTTAAGTACCTATCCCACATTAGACAAATGGCTTTAATATAGTTTTTTTTTTTCTTTTAAGGTTGTTTCCAGTATTTCAAAAAGCGGACCGCCAAACGGCTGGGTGGCCGCATGCCTATGGGTCAAAAAAAGCCGAAATCCCTGGGTGCCCGCCTAGGCGAGGACCCAATGCCCGGCATTGGGTGACCGCTTGAGTGGCCTAGCGTCCCTGGACGCCTACCTAGGCAGGGACCCAATGCCCAGCACTGGGCTAGAGGCTGTAAAGCCAACTCAGTAGGGGCATTTTGTGTATTGTGGATAGTGGATTGTGGATTGTGGATTGTGTATTGTGGATAGTGGATAGTGGTTGTGTATTGTGGATAGTGGATTTGTGATTCGAATGGTTTCGTATTTGATAACTTTGGTAATTTGGTTGGTAAATTTTAAGTTTTAACTATGTATAGAATGTGGATTGTACTCCTATGTGTTGTATATTATAATTTTGAATTTTGATGTAACCTAAATCCTTAATTCTTATATTTTATACAATTATACTTATACTTATACTTCTGAATTTTGATGTGTCCTAAATCCCTAATTCTTATATTTTATACAGTTATAGATGTGCCGGCCTTGGCGATGGGCGGCCTAAAACCCCTAGAATGTGCCTGCCTAGGCACTGGGTGGCCTAGACCCCTACAATTTTGATGTGCCAGCCTAGGTGCTGGGTGGCCTAGACCCCTACAATTTTGATGTGCCCGCCTAAGCGTTGGGCGGCCTAGACCCCAGGCTGCCTAGGACCCGTCTAGTGCTCTTTGAAAAGCTGGTTGTTGCGTCATATTACTATACAACAACCTGAAATCTGATTGACTTATAATTTGCCCTAAAACCAGAAATCTGATTGACTTGTAATTAGATTTCAAAATAAGCCAAAAGGCCAATAAAATCTACTCTATCCAAAGAGGCAACAAAACCAGAAAATTGATATTACTTCACATGGCTTATAAGAATGTAAAATATGATTTATCATTAAAGCTCAGCATAATTCACTAAAATCTGGTCAATGGAATCTATTATTAGCAGAAAAACCAAACAATTCACAACAATTTACATTCCCATGTGCAATAGAAAGATGGATAATAGAAATTCGCATTCATCATCATCAAAGCTTTTTCCCAATCAAAGACAAAAATTGCATTGATTGAAATTCACATTACCCCCAATTTCTCGTCTTAATGCTCGATTCGATTTCTCCTCTTAATGCTCGTTTCTGGATACCAGAAACTCCGTAACCTTCTTTTGCAACACAGTGAAGGCCGCAACCATTAAAGGTGGAGAAGAAGAGGAAGAAGGCATAGAAGAAGCTTCTTGTTCGAGATGCTCCTCGATCATGGCTCTCATTGATCTCAGAGAGAGAGGAGAGAAGGCCTCGCCCCACTCGTCAACAAACCCTCTGAGACAATCCCATTTCTCTGTTTCCCGTAACGCGCGCCATCGCCTCGCCATCTCTGAAGAGTTCGCCATACCCGTGTGGTCACAGAGGGCCATCAGAAGGAGCTCCCTGCTCTTTTTCATGGCGTTTTCTCTCTGTAAACCGTTGGCTTTCGCCTTCATAGCTTGTGCCCTTAGCTCGGCCGCGATATCTGCATCGCCATTGCTGCTTTTGCTATGGACCAGTAAAGAAGGGATTCTAGTTCTTTTGGTGGATAGAAAGAGGTTGGGGTTTTTTAGGGATAGGATTTGGGGTAGGAGCGGTAAGAGAAAGGTAGGATTAGGGTTACTCTTCGGGAGAGTTGCAGGAAAGAACGCCATGACTGTTAGGGTTTGGAAAGGTAAAAGTGTTTTAAAATGAGAAAATGTTTTGAGGGGTGCAGGCCTAATAAATCCTCACCTTATAATTCAAAAAGTTGCAAGTTTACTGTAGAGCCTTTACATCGATCAACATTATCGTTGTGAAAAATATAGGATTTTAAGTTAAAAATGTAGTGTATATTATAACAAATTATTTTTAATTTTTTTAAAAAATAAGTATTTATAGATCCATAAGATTTGTACTAAAATTAATTTTGGAACCATCATAAAGATTTACTCAGCAGGAAAAACTCTCCGGACGAAGATTCGGCGGGCGGCTTTATTTTGTTTTCATAAAGTCTAGGCCTTTAAAATAACAATGTTGCCCTTTAAAATTAGTGCGGTTGGTCTTCATGAGCCGATTGGGCATGTATGCTGAATTAATGTTGAATAGGAATAGCAATGGGCCGAGCTTCTTTGGCCTTGGTCTTCTTCTCATCCCCATAGGGTTCGGCCAATATTGCCCTACCCCTATGCATATTTTGTGGCCCAAGTCCTATTTTCCTAGTGGCTGCTCGGCCAATGCCGGTCCTTACTCATTCGTGGCCCACTCATATAGTGCCAAATTCTTGTTGACTCGCTTCATAGCTAAAATAAGTTTTTATGTAGTGACTCTGCCAAAACCATGTTGATTTGAGAAATTAAAATGAGAAGTCCCTCCATTTTACAAATTCTAGATAATTATAACAAATTTTTTAGACCGGTCATTTTACCTGAAACATAAGTGTTCAGAAATCCATAAGATTTGTATAATGTTTTGAGTTTTAAATTTTATTGTCAGTGTTTGAAATTGATTTTGGAGCCATCATAGAGAAATACATCGCCCAAAAAACTTTCCGGATGATGATTTGGGGTGAGGCTGATGATTTGGGGTGAGGCTTTATTTTGTTTTCCTAAAACCTAGGCTTTATAAAAACCTCATCCGGTGCTACGCTTTAAAGTTAGAGTGGCTGATCTTCATGAACTGATTGGGTTTATAGGCCGGTTTAACATTAAATAAGAATGGCAATGGGCCAATCCTTCCTTGGCTGGGTCTCGCCCTTATCCCTATAGGGTTGGGTCGGAGCGGCCAACACTGCCCTAGCCCAAGCATAGTTAGCAAATCAGGGGCTATCTATAAATCGGCTCACAATAAAATTGGTTATTTTAAAAAGTCGGGTAAAAAAATCGGGTAAAAAATACGGATCGACAGAAATACTTAATATAAAGATATCGTTAATATATCGGATTAGGCTAAAACATCAGATAAATTTATAGTATTAGAAAATTTGAAATTCTAAAAAAAAAAAGTTATGTCAAAGCCATCAATAACTAATTCATTTATAAAAACTTTACTAGATTAATATAATTAAGTCAATTAATTTAGATGTCTCGTGACTCTGATGCAATCATCCAATATTAAATACATAATTAATTAGTATATATCAAAAAAAAATTGTACTATATAAATCTACCCATTACATACCAAAAACAAATATACCATATAAATTTATCCATTAAATACTTTAACTATGGTATGGTGACAAATATACTATATAAATTTATTCATTAAATACTTAAACATCACACCTACTTGGCAGGTATAAAAAAAAAAAACACGATTTTTTTTTTCTCATTATAAGGATTTAACTATAGTATGGTGACTATGGTCACACCATAACTATGGCTAAAGGTTTATTAATTTCTATAATTAAAAAGAGGCCCGTAGAAATTTGGGTTTCAGACCTTTGTGTTTACGGTTTAGAGAGAAAAGGAAGAAGGAAGAGAGGGAGAAGAAGGTTACAATTTAGAGAGAGAAGGAGGAAATAGGCAGAGACTAAAATAGGGCTGGGCTCATGGGTTTATGGAGAGAAGAGGCCCTAACTGATTTTTAGAAAGAGAAAAAAAAGATGGGATGCTGATTTGTGATAGTTTGATGATGGCTTTTCTCTCTTATTTAAGATGTTGTTTGAGAGAAAACCCTAACTATACGGATTTGTCAAGAAGCCTTAACTGATTTTTAGAGAGAGAAAAAAAAAAGGGATTTTTTTTATTTTTGGGGAAATAGCAAGCAGAGTTGAAAGATTAGGTTTGGGGACTAATCCTATATGTACAATTGCTTGTTCCTGTAAGTTTACAATTTACACTATATTGTTTATATTTGTTATCACATAATCAAAAGCAAAATATTGACTGCTTGGTCCTGTAGTCACATTCTCTGCCTCTCATTCATCAGTAACATACTATGTTGAGCTCTAGTTTGTGCCATAAACAATATTTTCATAAAAACAATGATCACAAATAATCAAAGAAATTTGCATGTATATGATTTTCTTTGCACAATGATTTACTTTACAAAATGATTTGCTATAAACAGTATTTCATTTACACAATGATTTTCCATAATAACACTGAAATCTGCATCTATTTGTTTAAGTTTTTTTTTTAAAAAGGGAAAAAAAAATTCACCTTCAATCTGCAACTATGGCTTTGAAGAACATAGTGGGGATAAAAATTTCTATTTTAGGTTTTTTTTTTAAATAAATTTTTTTTTTTAAAGCATGAAAGTAGCAACGGCTGCAATACACAAAACACGAAAAAAAAAATATCTTTAAAAAAACATTATAACTAGAAATAGATACGATTTTTTGGCCTGATTTAAATCCTATTATAAAAATATATATGTGTTTTAAACGTTTTTATGAAAAGTAGGCGATTTTTTCCGACCTTTTAAAAAAGTCTCCGTTTAAAATTGCTTCCATAAAAACTCTGGTTAATTGGCGATTTGCTAACTATGAGCCCAAGGCATAGTTTGTGGCCCAGGTCGTACTTTTCTATGGGCCGCCCGGTCCATTGCGGGTCATTCCTAATTCGGTGGCAAACTTATATAGTGCCAAATTGTCGTTGACTCGCTTTTTAGCTAAACCAAGTTTTTTAGTAGTTAGCACGCCAAAACCATGTTGATTCGAGAAATTAAAATATCACAAATTTTACAAAATGAGACTTACCTCCATAGTAAGGGTAGCCATTTTGGTAAGACTTACCTTTACCAAAACCAAGTTGGTTTGATAAATTAAATTTCATGCCACCATATCATTGTCATATAATGAAACTATATTTTTAGAGCACCATGCGGTTTTTATATGCAGTCAAAATTTGTGTATACCCTCTTTTCATCCTAATAATCGTTCTTAAAAAAAAAAAATTTAATTTGTACCTTAGATATGGTCAAACATAGTTCCTACCAACAATATATCTAGATCATTCATCTAGTGAATATCAAGATCTAGGCCTTTACGAATTCAAAATTAGTTTTTCTTTTTTATCTTTGTTAATTTAATAGTAATAAAGCTATTTAAAATATTTAGAAAGGAAAAAAAACCTTCTAAGGCCTAGATCTAAGTTTCTCACTGAAATGGAAAGATATTAATTTAACTAAAGCTGTGTTTTGAGAAAAAAAAAGTTGTCGATTGGAATGACAAGAATATATATATTTAAAAATTGATGTTAAACAAATAGTGCTGCATACATTTTGAAGATTGTTTCATTATATTACTATGAACCATTGCCTAATATCACTCCCCTAAAAAGCCCTATGAATATTCATATTTAATGATGTCGTAAGCACACTTAAACACTTAGGTAAGGTCCAGGAGTCGGCACCTACTTGACCCAAGTTACTCACACAAGTCTAAGTGCACTTCCCTTAATAGATGGAGGGAGCATTTGGAACAAGAGAGAGAAAATAAAGGGGCCTAAATTCTGCTCGCCTTTTACAGAAGGACGAAAATAAATAAATAAAAAATATTTATAAGAGATAAATTACTTAACATTTTACTCATATCTTTTGATTTAATTTCAAAATACCTATCAAAATA